GTAAAACTGCCCCATGGGGTTTCCAAGGCTGTCATTTTTACTGAAGCAGACTGCAACATTTTTCTCCCACAGAGTAGCTGGTGGGTTCGAACAGCTGACCTTTCAGTTAGCAGACAAATGCTTAACCACTGCACCGCTGTGGCACATTTATGAAGAATACAGGCCAGTAATTTTATAAAGTCCCCCAACCTGGGTTTGTTGGATGTTTCCTTTCCTCCTGTATTTCTTGCCCGGAGTGCCAGTTCGCCCAGGTCCTCAGGTTAGGAGTCCAGACATTATCCTGGATCCCTCCTTCTCCCTCACTCTCACTCACTCATCACTAGGTCCTGTTGGCTAGTTACCTAATGCCCTTTCCTCTTATGCCCACGGCTTCTACCTTGGCTGGGCCCTTGTCATTCGCTACCTGCCTGGAGTCTCCCCTGTCCCGTCTATCCTCCACTCTGCTATCAGCTACGGTACCGCCTCACGCTGCTCCCTTCTTAAGCCCTTGATAGGTTGCCTATTCAGTGTGGTCCAGGGACCAGCAGCATCAGGAAGTTGTTAGAAATGCAGAATGTTAGGCCCTGTTTCAGACCTATGGGATCAGAGTGTGCATTTTAATAAGTTACCCAGTGTTTTTTCTACACCATCAAGTTTGAGAAGTCCTGCTTTCACAGATCCCTGAGGGTTATAGACTCCTTAGCTCCACATTCAAGGCCTTCGAGTGTGCCCCCTCTGTCTTCAGCTTCATCACCTTCTCTGGAATATACTTCCTGCCGTTCCTCTTGAGCACTACTGTCTCTGGACCCCTCTGTCTTTCTCTTAGCTTCTCTTACACAAAGGTGTTACCACAAGAGCTCCTGATTTTTGAGTGACTATTTCTCCCACTAGTTTGTGAGCTCCTTGAGGGAAAGCCAGTGTCTTATACACTTCCGTATCCTCAGTGCCCAGAACAGTTCAAATATTTGTTGAGTAAGGAAAGAAACAGCTAGCTCTTCCTCCATGGAGGCCCTTCTTCCAAGTAGATCTGAAGTGGGCATTGGGGCATCCAAAAGGTCAGACCAGAACCACAGAATATCAGGGCAGGGGTGGCCACACAGGGGGACATCTAGTTCAAATGTCTTGTTATCCATGAGGAAAGGCCCTGGAGAAGGAGAAGGGACATACCCCATGTTCCTCTGTTCAGGGGAGGTGTGACGGTGTGTCCCCTGATTCCTGCTTTGCCCTTCCTAGAGCCTGTGAGAAGCAGAGGAGTAAAAATCAAAGTGAGTGGCAGACGAATGCACACAAAATGGAAATACTTCTGTAAAATTTTAAAAACATGAAAAACAATTCTAGATCTTCTCGCTTAGGAAACAATCATGCCGGTGAAAGATGATTACTTTGAGGTGGGGTGGCTAGAAAGTCTATGACCAAGCAGCGGTTCAGCTATGCTGTTTGTTCTTAACCTGTTGTGTGGAATGCGTGTTGAATTCTCTTTTATAGGTCTTTCTTTGCATACTTTAAACAAGTTCATCTGAACCAGGGCATCGTGGCTTGCACGTAGTTCTCTGAAAAATTTTAAATGAGTTAAGTCCTGTCTAAGGTTCCCAGTCTTGCAAAATTCTATCCTGTGATCTCTGGCATCGTTTCTATCACTAAGGCCATATTTTCCAACTACCGATCCTTCTTCTTTGTTTCCAGCTTTCACATTCCAATCACCAGTAATTATCAATGCATACTGATCGCATGTTCGATCAATTTCAGACTGCAGAAGTTGGTAAAAATCTTCAGTTCCTTCATCTTTGGCCTTAGTGGTTGGTGCGTAAATTTGAATAATAGTCATAGTAACTGGTCTTTCTTGTAGGTGTATGGATGTTATCCTATCACTGACGGCACTGTACTTCAGGATAGAGCTTGAAATGTTCTTTTAATGATGAATGCAACATCATTCCTCTTCAAGTTGTCATTCCTGGCACAGTAGACCTGTACGCAGATCAAGAGGCAGTCATTTGGACAGAATGAGATACTGCATAGTTTAAAGTCAGGAAAGGTGTGTCAGGGTTGTATCCTTTCGCCATACCTATTCAATCTGTATCTGAGAAGCTGGACTATCTGAAGAACAAGGCATCAGGATTGGAGGAAGACTCATTAACAACCTGCGATACGCAGACACAAACTTGCTTGCTGAAAGAGGAGTTGAAGCACTTAATGATGAAGATCAAAGACCACAGCCTTCAGTATGGATTACACCTCAACATAAAAAACACAAAAATTCTCACAACTGGACCAATAAACAACATTATGATAAACGGAAAAAAGATTGAAGTTGTCAAGGATTTCATTTTACTTGGATCCGCAATCAACACCCATGAAGCAGCAGTTAAGGAATCAAAAGCCGCATTTCATTGGGCAAATCTGCTGTAAAAGCCCTCTTTAAAGTGTTGAAAAGCAAAGATGTCACCTTGAAGACTAAGGTACGCTTGACCCAAGCCATAGCGTTTTCAATCGCCTCATATACATGGGAAAGCTGGGCAATGAATAAGGAATACTGAAGAAGAATTGACGCCTTTGAATTATGGTGTTGGCGGAGAATACTGAAAATACCACGGACTGCCAGAAGAATGAACAAATCTGTCTTAGAAGAAGTACAACCAGTATGCTCCTTAGAAGCAAGGATGGTGAGACTACATCTTAATATTTTGGGCATGTTGTTAGGAGGGATCAGTCCCTGGAGAAGGACATCATTCTTGGTAGAGGGTCAGTGAAAAAGAGGAAGACCCTCAGCGAGATGGATTGACACAGTGGCTGCAACAATGGGCTCAAACAGCAACAATTGTGAAGATGGCGCAGGACTGGGCAGTGTTGTACACAGGGTCGCTATGACTCGGAATTGGCTCGACGGCACCTAGCAACAAGGTTCCCAGAGTTAACCAGCTCTCAACCTTGTGGGTTTCCATAATAATTTTTCTGCAAGGCAGGCTTCCAGCTGTAGCAAGCGAGGTTGAGAGGGCAGGGTGCATTCTAGAGACTGAGAATCTTGCCGTTATTAGAGCATAAAATGAACATAGGTAAGCCTGGGCTTACATCTTAGCATATGGGCTAAAGGGTTCGGGTTTCATTTTATAGGCAGCAAGGAACCATTAAATTCTCAAGAATGAGTTGACCTAATTAGCCTTTTAGCAAGTTGATTGTGGCAAAGATGGATCAGATAGGAGATCACCTGCCTTTGGCAATAACCCAGGGAAATAATTTAAAAAGCAAAGTAAGTCGAGGTGAGGTGAGGAAGAGAAACAAGATTGGTAGATAATTGTTGAAGCTGTGTAATGGGTACAAAAGGAGTTCATTGTTCTACTTTTATGTTTGATGTTCTCCATGATAAAAAAAAGACAAAGTAACTTGTAGAAATCATAAATATACACTTACTGGGCAAATGAAAAAACAAAATCCTAATTTTAAGAATGGATACTTGAGCTTCGGATAATTTTTCATACAGGAACTAAAACAGTGCTGCCATTTCAAAATAATTTGATGAAAATAAAACTGGGTTCAAGGAAACTAATCCACGGTTCAGAAGTACAGACACTGAAGAGTTGAATAAAATGATCTCATTTCTAAATTAACACTTTATATATACTTTTAAATATGTACAGATAATATTAATGCAGTTGAAAATAATCTCAATATACATATATGTTTTCTATATACTTTCTCCAAAATACACAGTGGGATGAAATAAAGTGGAGAGGAGGGTGTGGAGAATGCTTCTACGTGCAGTGTCTTTTTAGAAGAGTTAAAAAAAAAAATCTTTAAGAGGAAATGGGGTACTAGGAGATGAGAGAGGTAGTGTTTAATGCAAACTCTTCAGCATTGTTTGAATTTTGTACCACATGGATGTATTATTGCCTCCAATAGTCTAAATAACATAAACAGTGATATATTTATATAATACTGGAAATTAGTATTACAAGAAACTTTTCTTCAGTTTTACTTTTTAAAAATGTTGAAATAATGCCTCCTATAGATGCAATCAGAAAGAATACAATGACTACATGACTGAGTCCGGTACAGCTAGATGGTGCCCGGCTACCACCACTGACTGCTCTGACCAGGATCACAACAGAGGGTTCTGGACAGAGCTGGAGAAGGATGTAGAGCATAATTCTAACTCACAAAAAAAAAAGACCAGATTTACTGGCCTAAAGGAGACTGGAGAAACCCCGAGAGTATGGCCCCCAGATACCCTTTTAGCTCAGTGGCGAAGTTACCTTCGAGGTTCACTGATCAGCCTGCGAGTGGACAGCCCAGTAAAACCATGAGAGTAACGAGGTACAGGAGTCCAGTGATAAGGCCCAGAAGGCAGAAGGGGAGTAGGAAGCTGATGATAGGGAACACAAAGTAGAGTAAGGATATTGTTGATGTGTTGTGAGATTGTTAACCATTGTCATAGGGCAACATTTGTAGTAACTGTTAAATGGGAGACTATTTTGTCCTGTAAGCCTTCATCTTGAGTGAGAATAACAGCACAATTAGAAGAGCGTAGTCAGTGTCACTTAAATGTGTATGTAAAAAAATTTTTGAAATGGCGTATCTTTGGCTATGTGTATTTTCACCAAAAAAAAAAAAAAAAGTTGAGAATTTAGAGGGTTAAAATGTGGGGTTGTTAACCAATGTCATAAAACAGCATGTGTGTTACTGTTACATGAGAAACTATCTGGTCTGTAAGCCTTCATCTGAAGTACAATAAAATATTTAAAAAAAAAAAAAAAAGACTGAAAGATGTTCATCACCAACTTTAAATTGTGCCTCATTACCATACCATCCTGAGTGTAAAAGCTCCATGAATTAATATTTCTCACGAATCTCCTATAATTATCTTGGGAACAGCAGAATTACATTGCACTGTTTTTTCTGCATGTTAAGGAAATTTGCCAAATTTAAACATTTTAAATATGCCAAAAAAAAAAAAAAATGTTGAAATAATGCCTCCTATAGATGCAATCAGAAAGAATACAATGACTACATGAAGCTTGACTTGAGGTGGGATCATGGGTGAAATATTTATGTGTGATTATGGAAGATTTAAAATACTCTATCAATAGTAGTAGATATGCTTGAACCACTTTTTTTACATTTATACATATTGGAAGGAACACACTTCTCTCTCCTGAGCGCCACTCTATTTTGGTAGGTGCTCCAGTCGTTATAGAAGTTAACCAATAGCTCTCCAGCATCACACTTCCATGTCTCCCTGGTTGTGCCTGAGGACCCATGATCTACCCACATTTGTCCCTTTTCATCATGTAGTATCCTCTCTGGCTCCTTCACAACAGCTGAAACTTATGGTCCCTCCTTCAACCTGTTGCTTTTTCCATAAAATGAATTAATAGATCTTGTAAGCAAATGCCAATGGTTCAGGCAAGCTTTTAATGCACTCATTTCATCTTGTGACTCCATCTGAACCACACATTTGAGTCTTCGGGCTCCTTCCAGGCATCCCTGAAGCCAAGCTATGCAAGAGCCCTTTGGCCTCTTGAGGAAATGTGGCTGTCCCAGACGCTGGTTTTAGTCAAGTATGTCCCCAGGATCTTAAAGGGAAAAGTTATTCCCTTTAAATTTGTCAAGAATCAGGCAGAGTGTGGGTCCAAGACTGTTTTTATTTTCAGAGCCTGCAACAGGTGGTTAGCAATGCTGGCTGAGCTGGCACAATATGCAGGTCATCCCGCCTCCCTCTTCAGGCATTCAACCAACAGAATCCCTACAACCAAGATCGGGGACCAAACTGTGATGTCTCCATTGTGTGTGAGGTCTTCTAGCTCTTCTCTCCCATACTCCCCACATACTTTTTTCAACAAGATTGTTTTATAGACAAATCCAACTCAAACCCATAACTCAGTAACCAGTCATCTCCAATATCACCGATTCCCTCCCCATCCCCAGAACAGAATCCCGAGGCAAGAGGTGAGATTGACCTTGTGTTTAAGAAAAACTTGGCTACACCCCAATGGTGCAGAGATGGTGAAGTGGCTGGGCCTGAGGGTACAGATGAGCAGGCACCAAGCAGGCCTGTCTAGAATCAATCAAGTCAGCCCCAGCTCTGTAGATGGGAGGTGTTCCTTTCAGACTCCACTTCCATAGGGTTAGATGAGTGGGCAACTGGTGATGATCCATTACTCCCCGTTCCTCAAATTAAAACATGATAAATCCAGAAAGTTTTACCTTCAAAATTCACCAGACTCCCCCCTGTCATCTCTGTCAGCACCCATTCCCTCCTCCTCATGCCCAGGGCTTCCAGCCCCTCCCTACCCTTGGGTGGCCCATCTGACACCGACTTGATTTTTCTTGACTCATAAAATGACCATTAAAAAAAAAAAAAAAAAGCTATTAAAGAGTGTCAGAGTAGCTGAAGGAGGACACTCAGTGTCTACTTCCCTCCCCGTCCTGTGGAGCCCACCCGTTCCCACCCGTCCTGGGATACCTACACTACCACTTTCCAACACTGACCTGGGGGTGGCCCAGTGGAAGCTGCCTGAAGTGCTTTCCTGACTGTGGCTCCTATTCTAGCCAATACCACAGGGAACTCCCCTGCCCCCCAAATAGATCTCAAAAGCCTTCGAGGTAGGTCTGGGAGGTTTAGCTTATGTCCTGCAGCCAAGCCTGAGTCCAGTGCCCGCTCCCACAGTATCTCAGTTCTTGGCTTTAAATAGCAGCAGCCCCAGTACTGCAGTGCCTCCTGGGGGTGACAGAGCTCCTAGCTCTCTGTCCCACAATTCACAACAGGTTTGACTTTTCTTCCCCCTGTCTTTTTTTTTTTTCTCTCATTAAAAGCAGAGGTAGTCCCTGGGATAATAAAACCCTACCTAGAATGGCAGTATTTTGACCTAACAAAGGAGTTAAGTAAAAGTCTCCAGGAGTTAAAAATAAAATAAAGTGATTGATAAAGTTGAATAAATTAAAGATACGGGTTATCCCACAAAGACCCTTCCTTCCCAGGCTGCCTTTGGTATCTGGCTAGCAGTGTTTCTCTTCGTGTTACTTCTGCTTCCACTTGCCCCTCCCCTTGAAGCCCCGCGCTTCATGCGAGAAAGCCAGCGCCCAGCAAGGCACCAGGTTATTCGTCCAACTGTGCAGGATGAGGAGTTGGGATGTCTTGACACAGTGGCTCGGAACTGTACTGTGGCATCTGACAGTCTTGGCACAGTTCTGATGTGGAAGGAAGCCATCTTATGAGGGACAGAAGAGGTGTTGCCAACGGGATACTCTGGGCTCCAACCCTGGGAGTGTGGGAGGTAGGTTTAAGGCACGGAAGCCGCAGGCCTTCTCTTCAAATGCCACACAGCTGTCCCCTTTCCTCAAGTTTCTCTGCAGTGAAGAGGGGAAGGGCGGAGGGACGGACCGCCACCCTCAGAGCTTCTTCAGACGGCTGTACATCTCCCTTTTGCTCTTTTCCCCTGCCCAGGTCCGGCTCTTCGTGCGGAACTTCTTCAGGTCTTCTTTAAAGTCCTCGTGGTGCATGGGCCGGTAGCTGGGGGGCTCACAGTGAGACTGGGGGAAGAGAGGGTAAGGTTAGGGCACACTTGCCTCACACTTATAATCTGGTTCTCTCCTTCCCTCCCAGGGGTGCAACGCTGGGGGCAGCAATGCAGACCAGATGACAGGTTCAATAGGGGCCTGCTCTGTGCAGGGCAGACACCCCAAGCCCTGGTCCAACACGGGTGAGGGGCAGGCCATGCTCTCCAGAGACCCATCTCACCTGGCACTTCAGGAAGAACTCCTTGTATCCGCCCTTCAGGACGTACAGCTCAGGGTAGTGGAGTTTGGGGTACTCATTACCAAGTCGATCTCTCTCTCTCACGTACCGGCACCTAGTACAAGGAAAGGAAGGCCAAAGCCGGGTTAGTACTTCCAGTACAGAAAGAAGAAAAGACAGTAAAAGCAGTGGTTGTGGGTTTAAGCGGTCCTTACACACATCTTGCAAACTTTATATTTATTCTTGGACACCAGCAGCTCCTGACCACGGGAGATCTTTAGGACCAGCGTTCACAGCCAGTGCCACTGCCTTATATTTAAAGGTAGATGGTTTCTTCTCTAACCTTCCCTTCTCCAAGTTAAACAGTCATAGCATCTGACCCTCGCCCACTGTCCTGTCACCACCCTGTACTTCACATGTGGCATCGGCCTCTCAGCTAGCTTCCTGGCTTCTCCCTCAATTCCCAACCCCAGCCTCCTTCCTCTGTGACTACCATTCCCCTCACTCACATCTTTCTAGCTAAACAGGCTTCTTCCCATGGCTCTTAAACAGGCTGAGCCTACTCCTGCCTCAGGGCACGTACTTGCATCCTATGCCTAGACCGGATACCCAATACCCTTCCCCGGGCTCCTCATCTGGTTGGTGGCTTACTGCCCACAAGCTGGTGTAAAAGTCAGAGTCTTTACATGGCCCACAAGACCTGACTTCCTGTCACCCCTCTCACCCCACACTGCTCTCCCCTTTACTCCACTCCAGCCTCTCTGCTCTTCCTCCACTCAGCCCAGAAGCTCCCACCTTATTGTCATCTGAAGGAACTTAGGGCTAACAGTGAGCCACATCCAACAATGGCAAGGACTGACTCAGGAGTGGGGGTGATAAAGCAGAGATCCACGGGGGGTGCTGCATAGTCAACACAAGCATCCTAGACAGGGCTGGACTGGAGGACCCTGAAAACCCTTCCCCCTCAAACTGTTAGGTCAAGCCTATAAACCACATTCAAAGGAGCCGTTCATGAAAGCAAGCAACTGCTAAATGGATAAGAATTTGGGAAAACTTCTGTTACACATACATTCGTAGATACTCTGCAAACCATGTATGTATATGTCATGTGTGAAGGTCAAGGCCTGGAAATGATTAGTGACGTGCAGTAGGATGGCTGGTATGCTAAAGTGTGCTCCAAGTGTGAGCCACACACTACCACGTTCCACAAAAGCACTGGGGGGCCCGTGCCCCAGAGAGCCCAGTTCTGTGCGGCACTCACATGCGGGGGCCTCGCTCAGAAGAAAATTCGCAGTGGAACACGACAATGACGCGCTTGCCATCAGTAGGTACGATGGGCTTCTTGAGTAGGAAGTCTTCAACCTCTTCTTCCATGTGCAAGTTCACTGCACCCTGTGAAGGTACCAGAGACTGTTGGCATCTGTGTCTCCCGCACCTGCAGTACTGACTCCGCGACAGTAATCTTTAAGTCCACGAGACCAGTTTTACAGGCCCGTGGGAACAGGTCTCCTGGCTCAACAGCCCAGTAGAGCACCTGGCACCTGGATCTCAATGGAGCTTTGTAGCTCTCTACACACTGACTATGCAGAAACGCACACGGGCCTGGAAATTCTGTTATACAACTATGGTACACTTTATGAGTGGTACTTGTGAATTTGGGGACTTTCAAAAGCCATAAACAAACACTGTATGTAAAGCACTTCTTCAACACTATTTTATTTGGTAAAAGGTTAAAATAGCACCAACAGTTCCCTTCTTCCTGGAAAAGTGTGTCCTAATAACACCTTTCCTCTATTAATTTAAGCAGCCTGACTGAACTACAAAACTGAGAGGGATCACTAAACTTGCCAGAGACCAGGACACACTGCCAGCAATTGGCTTCCTTTAGGCAGGAACCCTGGGGTTTTCAAATATTTGTACCTGAACTACAAATACTATGGAGCCCTTTCTGCCCTGCCTCGGCTTAGAGATCAGCAGGTATCACCTACAAATGTGCATGAAGATGATGATGTGAAGGCTAGAACAGGGAGCATATGCTATATAAAGTGGTAGAGAATAGTGTAGACCAGGGAACATGAGATCAATGCGCCAAGAGTCAAATACCTTTTACAATCTACTGTCTCTTTTTATTCTTACAACCAACATGTGAGGTTAAGTCAGGCAGGTGCCACTGTCCCCCTTTTTAAAATCCCGTCTAAGGCTCCTTCCATCCCTCCCCAAGACAAGATAGCAGGGTTTGACAGCAAGCGCCAGAAATTCATACCTTTATGTGGCCTCCCTCATATTCATATGGGTATCGGCAGTCAATGATAACAAACTCTTTAATAAGGTTGGCAAACTTGCCATTCAAAACAGATGCCATCTGTAGAGAGAAAGCCAAGGAGAATCAAGCTTGGTTCTAGGAATACTAGATTCAAATACCCCACGGGTTCCAAAGGGGTGACTTACAATTTCTGGAGAGATGTATCTTAAATCCTGATGCTTCCCAGCAACCGTGTGAAAGAGATAACCCTAAAAAAAAAAAAAAAAAAAAAGATACTTAGCAAACCTGAAAGCCTATAAATGCAACACTTGTACTGACTGCCTGGTAAGCAGTTTTTAAAAAGCAAGCATTAATCAGATAGTACGTGCTAATTACTCTTGTAGGTACTTCATTAACACCCTGACATTTAATTTTCATACAAACCCACAAGGAATATTATCCTCATTTTCAGATGTGAAAACTCAGACAAGTTAAGTACCTTATTCAAGGTTAGCCAGCTAGGAAGCCAGACTGAATCCGGAAACATCCAGGTAGTTTCTTTTTCCATCTGCTTTTATCAGGATTTCTCATCTCAGACTATAAACAGCACTTAAAAATACAGTGAAGGGAGGCATTTCACTCCTCTACCGGGCACCTGCTATGGTGCTAGGCACTGGGGCTGGGAAAAATGAGGCCTGGCCCAGTCTTAGGGAGAAGATGGGCACATCGGCAATTACTCAGTAAGGCAACTGGTTGATCAAGAGTGCACCCATCCCTGTGGCCGTGCAGCGGCCATTGTGGCAAACATAATCGATAGCCTCAATTCAACCTGAAGGTTCCACAAGCGGGAACACCTCCAAAGCATGCCCAGGTCTTTGGTTGCTCATCCCTTCAGATTGGAATTGTCTATTTTTCTACCTCTTAACTCCCCCTGTTCCTTCAAATCCCACCCAGCTGAAATACCAATGGCTCAGACCCACACTTTCCCCAATTCTCTAGCTAAGACAAATCTTTTCTTTCTCTTAGCCTGTTGCTTACATCTCAGTGACATTTATTTCAATCTGCCGCGTGGTAAATGTTGCTCATCTACATGCGGTACATGACATGGCTTACCTCTCCTACCACATGTTACACTCTTTGAGGGAAGGAATTGGCTCTTACTTGGGAATCTCCCATACTGCCTAATATATAAGTACTTCAATAAATGTTAGCTAAATTAATGAAGAAAAGAGTAATCAAGTCAAATGCAGCTAAACAAGTCGCTACTGACACATTCCCTGTCCCACCCTGGTATTTTGCCAGGGCTCAAATGCAGCCAGCCTTCCTCATAGCACTTCAGGCCGTCAGCTGATCTTCCTCTAAACTTCTCTTGGGACCTTTTCCCTTAAAGGCCACACTTCTCCGGACAGTGGAGAAATTCAGCCTCAACCCTGGATATTCCATGATAATCTTTCAACATACAGACTTGTAATAAGACTAAGTTTATATCTGCTTCTTTATACTTTTATGCAATGCTATTTTTATAATCAAAAAACACACTTCCCAGAGAGCCTGATCTTTGTGTTGGAGCCACAGTGAGCAGCTTCCTACCTTAACCCTTTCGTGATCGGCAGTACATATAGTGACCGTGAACTTTTTCAGCCCCTTGGGCTTATTGGGAAGCTGCTGTTGCACTGACACTGTATGCTGCCACAAGGCAGGGGTCTTTATGACTGTTTGAAACTAAAGAAACGGGAGTGTGCTGCAAATTACTGTTTTTACGGAGTATTATATGAGGTGTCTCAATTGTTGGTAGGAAAACCAGAAATTTTGAAAATTTTTATTTGTTACTATATGTACCAATAGACACACTTAGGGTAGGCTTGCAGGGGTGGGTGGGGGGCGGGCCGGGGCAAGAAAAAAAAATCCATACTACCTACCAAAAATTTAGACACACTCAGTGATTCAGCATGCTTCCATTAATGAAAAACACATGGTATCAACAAAAAATTCAAAGCAGAAAATAATTGGGCCAGCAAGGTCTACAATCTCAGCCCAACACAAACATGACCATGAGAACTCATCAAGGTTTTCCACCTTCAAAATTTCCAAACTGTGTCCCTTGGGAGGCACCCCGGGGGCCACCTCAGGGAGGGAGAAAGGCTGAGTGGGGTTCTAGGTATTCCCACTCCCTCCATCACTCAGAGCAGCTCTGCTTGTATCTGTTTGTATTTACCTTGGAGAAGTCTCCTATAAGGTCCCTTGGATCACTGTCCAAAATGTTCTCAATGGTCCCTTTTGGGGAAGACGCCAAGGACAAACACTGATGTAGAATCTGTAACAAATCAAAGGTGGAACTCTGAAAAGGATTTCTCAAAAACATTCACCCGGAACATGTTAACTTCTATATTTAACAAAGAAGACATTTTTCTTATTTGATTCGATCTAGAGTAAATAAAAGAATATGGGTTACTGACTAGGTCTACTATTATTTTAGTTTCTAATGGAATTGCTCTGAAACTAAGTTTTCCTTGCTTTTTTAAAAGAGGGGGTTAAAATTAGGGCTATGTTATTAAAAAACAAACAAACAAACAAACAAAAAAACCCAACCATTTCTCAGCTGTATCCACTGAAAAGCTCCAGAGGTGCAATGAGCACCCATAGTGTACCGGACATAATGTGGTCTCTAGATACTATTTTCCACTAAAAGAAACCAGGGCTTTTTGAAGAAGTGATTGATTTCAGGTCTGGGACAAGAAACGTCCAAGATGAACCTGGCACACCTTGTCATAGAAGCAAGGAAGTGATCAGACTTCTAAGGTCATGTCAAGAAGACTAATCACAGAGAGGTAAGGATTCTCAAATATGACACATAAAGCACTAAATATAAAGACTGGTCGAGAAGGGAGACGGTTGACGTGTTGTGGGGTTGTTAACCAATGTCATAAAACAATATGTGTACTGACTGTTTAATGAGAGACTGTTTGTTCTGTAAACCTTCACCTGAAGTACAATTAAAAAAAAAAAAAAAGACTGACAAATTGAGATACATTTAAAAAATCAACAACTTCTATTCATCAAAAGAATAATATTAACAGGCAAGTCACAGAGGGGAAAGATAACATCCATCTGGTGAAAGGGTTATAGCTGAATATATAAAGGATTCCCACAAATAAATAAGAGACAACCCAACAGAAAAATGGGCAAAAGACTTGGACAGGCAATAGAGAGGATAATCTATGACCAACAAAAATGACTGCTAGGGAAATACAAATTAAAACCATACATACCACACACCCATCAGAATAGTTAACGCTAAAGGGATGAACAGCATCAAACACTGGGTAAAGACGTGGAACAAATGGAACTCTCACACACTGTACGGAGTACAAATACTTTGGAAAACTACTTGGCAGTATCTACTAAAACTAAACATATACCTAGCCTATGACCCAGTAATCCCACTCCTAGGTATTCATCCACAAGAAATAAAAAGGATGTCTAGAAAAAAAGAATTGTAAAGCATATTTATAGCAGCTTTATTCATAGCAGCCACAACGTGTGAACAACCACCCAAACGTCGATTAGCAGTCCAATGCATAATCTGCAGTCCAGACAATGGAATAGTACATAGCGATCAAAAACAAACAAACAAAAATCACAAAAAACTATGAATATAAGCAACAATCTGGATGATTCTCACAAAAAGGAAAAAAAAAGTCGAGCAAGAGAGTTCAGTATATAACTTAGAGGAAATGGACAAATTCCTTGAAACACAAACTTCCTACACTGATTCAAGAAGAAATAGTGGCTCAACAGACCCGTAACAAGTAAAGAGACTGGATCAGTAATCAAAAGCCTCCCACAAAGAAAAGTCCTGGATAAAATGGTTTCACTGAGAATTCTACCAAACATTTATAGAAGAAGTGACTCCAATCCTACTTAAACTTCTCCAAAAAATAGAAGAGGAGGGAACACTTCCTAGCTCATTCTATGAGGCGAGCATTACCCTGATACCAAAGCCAGACAAACACATCGCAAGAAAACAAAACTACGGGCCAATATCCCTAACGAATATAGATGCAAAAGTACTCAACAAAATACCAACAAACTGAATACAAAAATATATGAAAAAGATTATATACCATGATCAAGTGGGATTTATCCCAGGAATGTAAGGGTGGTTCAATATTAGAAAATCCCTCAACGTGATACACCACATTAACAGAACAAAGGAGAAGAATTATATGATTCTCTCAATAGATGCAGAAAAGACATTTGACAAAATCCAACACCCTTTTGTAATAAAAACACTCAATAAGGTAGGAATAAAGGGAAATTCCTCAAAATGCCTTTATTATAAGGGCATTTATGAAAAATCTACAGTTAACATCACACTCAATGGAGAAAGACTGACAGCTTTCCCAGAAGATGAGGAATAAGACAGGGATACCCACTCTCACTACTATTATTCAATATTGTTCTGGAAGTCCTAGCTAGAACAGTTAGGCTACAAAAGAAAAAAGGTACCCAAATTCGGAAGGAGGAAGTTTTTGTAGTAAACATGATCCTATATATATGCAAAATCCCAAAGAATCCATAAGAAAGCTATCAGAAGGAATACTGTAAATGAGTTCAGCATGGTGGCAGGGTAAAAGGTCAACACAAAAATGAGTTGGGTTTTTATATAACGAGCAACGAGCAAGTGGAAAAGGAAATTAAATAAACATTACCATTTACAATAGCATCGGAAATAATAAAGTACCTAAGAATAAATTTAACGAGGAAGGTGAAGGACTTACACACATAAAATTACAAAAGATTACTAAAAGAATTTAAAGAAGACCTAAATAAATGGAAGGACATTCCACTTTCACGGATTGGAAGGCTTAACTTAGTTAAGATATCAATACTACCCAAAGCAATCTATAAATTCAATGCAATTCCCAAATTTATATGGGAGGGGAAGGGACCACAAATAGCTAAAGCAATATTGAAGAAGAGTACAGTAGAACTCACACTTTCTGATTTTAAAACATACTATAAAACCACAGTAATTAAAACAGCTTGGTAGACATACAGATATATGGAACATATAGACCAATGGAACAGAACTGAGAGTCCACATACAAATCCATATATCTATGATCAACTGACTTTCAAGAACAGTACCAAGTCCATCCAATGGGGAAGGAAAAGTCTCTTCAATAAATGGTGCTGGGAAAACTGGATTTCCACATGCAGAAGAATGAATCAGGATCTATATGTCACATCATACACAACAGCCAATTCAAAATGGATCAAGGACCTATATGTGAATACCAAAACCATAAAATTCTTAGAAGAAAATGTAGGGGCAAAGCTGTGGGATCTAGTTTTTAGCGATGGGCTACTGGATATGACAACAAAAGCAGAAGACAAAATGGATAAATGAGACCACACAAAAATTAAATACTTTTGTTCATCAAAGGATTTTATCAAAAAAGTGAAAAGACAACCTACGGATTGGCAGACAGTTTTTGGGAACCATATATCCGATAAGGGTTTAATATCCAAAATATATACAATACTTCTACAACTTAACAACAAAAAGACAAGCAATCCAATCAAAAAATGGGCAAAGGACTTGAACAGACATTTCACCAAAGAGGATATTCAAACAGCCAACAAGCACATGAAAAGATGCTCAACAGCATTAGCATTCCAAAACCAAACTTGTTGCCATCAAGTTGACTCTGATTCACAGGGACCTTAGGGAGATGCAAATCAAAATCATTCCACCCCCATTAGAATGACAATAAAAAAAGAGAGAAAACAACAGGTATTTGTGAGGCTGGGAGAAACAGAAACTCTCATCTATTGCTGGTGGGAACGTGAAATAGTACAGCCACTGTGGGAAAAGTTTGGTGGTTCCCCAAAAAGCTGAACATAGAACTACCACATGACTCAGTTATTCCACTCTTAGGAGTATACCCAAGAGACTTGCAGCAGAACAGACACACGCACACCAATGTCCACTGCAGTGCTATTCACAATAGCCAAAAGGTGGAAACAACCAAAATATCCACCAACAGATATATGGATAAACAAAATGTGGTGCAGCCATACAATGGAACATTACTCAGCTATAAAGGGAAATGAAGTCCTGATACACGCCACAACATGGATAACCTTGAAAACATTATCTTGAGCAAAATCAGTCAATTGGAAAAAGGACAAATACTATATGATCTCACTTATATGAAATAAGCAAACAGACAGAAGCCAAAAATTATTAGTGATTACCAGGGGTGGCAGGGAAGGGGAAAGGGGAAGCTTGTGCTTGGGGGGCAATGAGTTTATGTTAATGGTGGTAGAATAATCTGGAAAAGTATAGTGAGAATGGTTGTACAACTTGAAGAATGTAGTCAATGCTACTGAATTGTACAAGTAGAAATCACTGAGGGCATGTTTTGTTATTTCCAACACACACACACACACACACACACAACCTCCAACAAACAAGCCTGCTCTCTCTAACAGACTAGGAAAAGGTCAGCCTAGCAAGACAGAAAACCTTTAGGCAATAACAGCTCTACTCCAACCAAATACCAGGGGAAAAGACTGCGGCCCCATCCTACCACTGTCGGCAAGGGCTGAGTGGGGAGACTTGCATTCTTGCTCAGCTGTAATGAAGTGTCCTAACCCCTGCTCGACTGGGATGGTGGCACAGAAGACTGAATAATGAGCTGGGACTTTCCTTTCTGCCCAGTGGTAATGCGGCCCCTCTGCCCTGTGTGTCAGTGGAAGCCACATGAGGCTGAACTCCCTCATACCCACCCAGCAGTGAGGCTTCCCACCACCCTAGGTGTCCATGGAGACTGCGTTGGAGAACTTGGGTTTCCATCACCACATGGCAGTAAAGAGCTGGCGCCGTCCCCCTCCCCACAGTATCAAACAAGGCCTGTTAAAACAGATTTATGTAGATCCAGAGTCTCATAATATAATATCCAAAATATATAGTCATTCATTCATAACAAGAACCAGGAAAACCTGACTCGGAATTCTGAATGGGAACTTGAAGAGGAAGACAACTAACAGACACCAGCACTGAGAAGACACAGATGTTGGAATTATCTGACAGGGATTTTAAAGCAGCCATCATAAAAATGCTTCAACAGACAATTACGGACACGTTTGAAACAAATGAAAAATCACTCCCTTCAGGCAAAAAGGAACCTGCAAAACTAACCTCCTGGGGCTTCTCTGGAGTAGCTGCCCCTTCCGGACTGGCCCCAGTCATGCTTTTCCTCCGCTTCGAATTTCCAAATGGAGATTCCTCTTGAGATCGTTCTGGTCTCTTCAAAGTTGACCGGGTGGAGCTACACATGGAAGGGGAGTCAAACAGCTTGCAGCGATTGCCCTTAGGGAAAAACAAAGATAAATCAATTTTTCACTAAAACCTGCCCACTTGAATGGTAAGGCAAATGAAATAATGGACCAAGGGCTTCCTGGGATGGTTTAAGATCCACTCTAAATTAGGAAACAGATACTGTACCTTCATCAAGACCCAGGAACTCTCGCTGGGCCTGGCACATGGCAGGCACTGAGCACCTGGTGCTTAATGAGCACGTACTAAGCAGACACTATACGGCGATGAGTAAGACAACCCTTGCTCTCAAAAAGCTGAAAGCTTACTGTCTACACAGGGTCCTAAGAGTGAAGAGAAGTCACTGTGACCTTCCAATCAGGAGCACATTTTTGACTTGCCTCTTCCCATCCATTTTATTACTTGTACCTTACTTGGACAGTTTGACAGGTTTTAACACCCACCTAAATGCAGAAAAGGTGTAAGACAGCTAGATTATACATAAAACATGGCCATAAAGGTTGTTAAAATGGAGTTAAGAGTGTAAGTTTGTGGCGCAGAGTAACAAATGTTGTATGCATGAGTTTAACGAGGCCACATTCCAGAATAAGCCACTGTCCACTTCACCACTGGGTGCTCCCTCTCCACAGCTGCTACGTGACTGACAAAGGGAAAAACAACTCACTTCCTACTGTCTTACTTCCGGAAGTGTGACGTTTTAATATTGGGGCTGAGTTAATCCAAGGTGTTACAGAGGATGACAGTGGAGACAAACCCTATTTAGGGCAAGAAGACACACGGGTACAAAAACGGCTAATTAAGGACACTGGCTAGAAAGGTAGTTTCAATGTGGAAGCACAGGAGCTCATCCACTGGCCCCACCAAATCCTGGCTGAAGCAAATGTTGGTGGCCACAGCAACTGCCTGCCCCTTCTCAAAATCAGAGCAAGATGAAACCATGAGGTTCAGGACAGGGCTCTGCTTTGCAAAGGTGGAAAGCAGAGCTTCGATGGTCACTTAGACAACGTTTAGGACCCTGCCAACTGGAAGTGAAGCCACCCAAAGCTGTGATTATGTTAGTTAAGAAGTTCAGAGAGATCAGAGCTGTAGGTCAGCCAGAAAGGACATTAGCTGACTAATAATGATTTAGATGAAACTATAAAGATGAGAACTGCATGCATATAAATTACCAAGGAGCCCTCACGCATCAATGAGGGACAAATTAAAAAACAAATAAACAATGCATTACACTAGAGACCAGTCAAATGGGAAGGCCCATAGACCCAAAGAATCTCAAATGAAACAAGTTCTGATTCTTATGGTTGTGTGAGCAGAAGGGCTAGCTTTTTGTTTAGAGGATAATCTGGGTCCACTCTGTCCCAGAGCCCAGTTACTCAAGGCTCCCTCCAGACCCACAGGAATAACTCACAAGGTTTGTGGTTCTTTTCATGACAAGGGGAGCTGTCCAGAGGCTTGCCATGCACGACGGGGTCTCCTCATCATTCTAAGGAAAGAGGAAAACTGGTTTAAAAAACATCCAATAGAGACTAACATTAGTTTGGGTAGAAGGCATCTAATGTCCCCTCCTCCCTCACCACCACTCCCACCACCCCTTAAGGTCAGAAGAGAACCACACTTAATAGCTCTGATATCTGAACATAGCTATAAGTATCTCCCTTGAGGGTACATGAGGAGGCATCCTCAGCCCCTTCAACTTTACACCATGTGGCAGCTAGCCCTACACTGTTAACGCTGTTCTTATTTCATGTCTCTTGCACAAAAGAGATTATCAGCTCCTTCAAGGTAAGAAGGACCACATTAATGTCGTCTTTTGAACCTCCCATAGGATTGACTCGGGCTAGAAACAGAGTCTCAATAAATTCTCACAACTCAACAAAAGTGTCAGCCAGCTCAAGCCCTGGGAACTTGAATTCTCCAGGGGTAGTTAGCGGAATGGATGAGAAAACACACCCACACCCACCCACACCCACACCCACACCCACAGAGTACCTTAAGATTCTCTCCGTCGAGAACATCCATGAAGCCATCATCCTCATCAGACAGAGTCACAGTCACAGGTGACCGGGGCAGAAAAAGAGGAATGAAATTCCCCGGCTCGCTGCTCTCACTTTCATTTGAGGAAAGCTAGAAGACACAATTCATGGCTTGTTAACAAATGAGAACTCCGGTCAGTTTTTATTTCCTTGGATAGGTCACTAGTTTTTATGAGGAAAACATACTATATTTGTTATAAGAAGTAAAATTTTAGCAGCTAGTAAACGAAGAAAAACGTACCCTGAGATTATAAATGTTGTGACACCCACACAGAGTCAGGGTAAGAAGTCTTCACAAAAAACTCTCCCCAGAAGCAATTCACCTTATAGCGGGATCTGAGGATGGGTTCTTGTGAAGAACAAGGTTTGTTTTATCAGGAGGTCATAACTGGTGAACACTGATCAACATGACAGTTGTGATACTATGATAATTCGCTGAAATGAAGAAGGATGAGAAGATGCAAGTCTTGTGGAGATCGGACAACGGCCCAGAGAATGCCCATGTAATGAGTTTGGACAGACGGAAATAAAGGGTGGTCTGGTTCTAGAAAGTATACCCTAGATCTCTAGACTTGGGATTTAAATGATAGCTGCTCAATTTTTAAATGAATTACTATGTGCAAGGCACTATGATATCATCTTTACATGTATAATTCCATATTAGCCTACAGTACGCTAAACCAAACCCAAACCCGTTGCTGTCAGTCGATTCCAACTCATAGTGACCTATAGGACAGAGTAGAACTGCCCCATAAGGTCTCCAAGGAGTGGCTGGTGGGTTTGAACTGCTGACCTTTCGGTTAGCAGCCGATCTCTTAACCATTGTGCCACCAAGGGTCCTACAACACACCAAACCAAAAACCAAGCCAAACCCGTTGCCATTGAGTCGATTCCAACTCATAGTGACCCTAAGGGGTAGTTAATCCTTTTCTTTTTAACAAATCGGGAAACTGATGCTTAAGAGCTTTTACTAAGATTACACAGCTAGGCTGTCTGATTCCAAAGCCCAAGGTTTTCTCTACCTTACACCACCTCCCTAGGAGCTGAAACCACTCCTGGAGTAAAAATAGGGGTATTTCATTAGGCAATTCTATATTGTTTTTTCAGGGGGGGGATCCTCCATTATAAAACCAATACCGATTTAATATAAAAAATTTAGAAAATCATTCGTAAATCCAGTATCTGGGGACAAACACTGCTAACATTGAATCATCTCTCTTCTAGGAGCTTTTAAAGCCAGGAAAAGTTTACAGATATATTTTTTCACAGTAACAAGGTGGCTCTAAAGTCCTACAAATAAGCCTCAAGAACACCCAGATCCCTTTGGGCTATTGTCCTCAAGTGGCGTTCTGGTTCTGCGAGGGGATCGCTCACCTAGGAATCCCCTCTGCAGCTGGCCTACTCTGGTTCTCACACTAGCTGTGCTTCCCCGATATGAAACAAGTGTCGGACGTCTCTGATCCTCCACAAGTACACCTGAATACAACCTGGACAAACTCACAGTTTCTGTGCCCATAGAGCCCAGGGGGAGTAACGTTATCACGGCCAGCACTCTAGGAAGGCGCGCATCATGTTATAAACTGGTTTTTGTGAGGTAGGTTCTGGGATCCCTAAGTGCAAATGTGGTATAGAAAACGTCCAACAAGTCTAGATCTGTTTCTGGATAGGAACTAATTCTTTCTCCAGGCTCCTACACCAAGAAGCTATTATGAGGAAACAGATGGTGGCTTAGAGACTAAAAACAAGACTATCAAAGAAATGCCCTCTGACATGATCGCTATCCAAACCAGTGGGATTGGCATTGACCTTCTTTCAGTTTGCATGCCCAGCACCTACAGTTAGGGATGGTCAAGTGATCACAGGAAACCCTGGTGTTCTGCTCTCCAAGCACACTCTAAAGATACTTAGTTCCTGATACCCAACTCCCAACGGGTTACTGTGTACTTGGGCATCTGGAGATTTTGTTAAAGCTGGTGTTCTATTATCTGTGACTTTTGGCAAATCTCTCAACCCCTGTGACCACACTTTCCTTATCTGTAAAATGGGGTAACTCCAGCTAGTTCAGAAGATTATGATGATTCAGTATAAGAACACGTGTCAAAGTGCTTTGTGCAATGCTAGACAGCAGCAGTATCGGCTGAACCCGAATCTCAAACCACATGCCTGACTGGAAAGCTGTATTTTCAGATTCAAGTTCCCAGGAAAACTTGGAAACCAGCTGTGATCACTCAGCTCGAGTTGGGTCTCTCCTGTCTATAGGGCTGTTGGTTGATCCAGTTTAGGCTAACAGTAGGAAACTTTGGAAGTAACGACAATCTCTGACTGCCTGACACATAAATAGCCCAGAGGCAAGTGACCCTAAATACTGCCAAGAAGCCTGTAGGCAGCGGTTCACTGGAATTCATGATAGTTCTTAATAAGCCACCTTTGGAAGAAGCCAAGTGCTCTCTCCAAAGAAAACCCTACTCTGGGGGCTACCTCTAGCACTCAGGACACGTTTTAAGTAAAAAATATAATCTCATCATGTGTACGCTTAGAATGACCCAGGATGCCTGCAGACTATTTTCCCAGAATTGACAAGGTCAGATTTTCCTTGCTGAAGTTAAATGTTTCACAGCCTAGTTTCAAAAGACAAAGTCAAGGTAAAGACAGCAAGAGCTACTGTAGTGTCTTCAGTTCCTGGTTAAAGAGGGTGCTGTAATTCTCTCTTCCCCTCAGAAACTCCCCTGTGAAGGCCAGGGCACATACCATCCGAGCTGGGGCAGAGTTCTGCCTCTGCGTGAAGAGATCTTTACTCTCCTCAAGTCCATGTGAGTGCAGGCAGCCACGAGATGCAGGTCTTATTGGCTTCTTAAACTCAAAGGCTTCCTGCAAGACAGTATAGTGAAGATATCTTCTACTGTCCATGAAAACCAGCTCTAGGGCCTCAGCTGTAGCTTGAGTGAGACAGGCAAGGGGACTGGGCACTAGTCACTACCTTTACAACAGCCTCAGAATGAAGGGTGGACCTGTTTCTGATCTAATTTCTAACACTGGCTATGTGTAACCTGTCAATGGCTAACTTCTAAAGCAGAATTTTTCCCCCTCTCACCGCAAATACTTTATTTCCTAACATACACATATCTGCCAACTCTATAAAACAAAAAATCTCAGAAAAATCACTACACTGGGATAAATACGATATGCTTGAGAGCCTTCTATTTTCCACTTCTTTGTGCGAACAAGAGAATGCTTTTCCCACTTAAAATGACTGTATCACATACTACAAGCAATGAAAACAAAACAAACTAGTGGTTTGCCAGTTTGTGGCTAAGTCTCACAAACTCAATGCTGAGCGGAAGAAGCCAGACCTGACAGAACACGTACTGTGTGAAAAAAGGTAAAAAACAGGCAAAACTAATCTACAGCGACAAAACGCAGACTAACGGTTACTTTCGTGGGAGACGGTTACTGATGGGGAGACATCAAGAGGGAGCCTCTGGGGTTTGGTCCCTTCATCTTGGTCTGGGTGGTAGTTATACAGGTATGCTTACTTGTCGAAATTTACCAAGCTGTACACTTGAGATCTGTATACTTTATTTAATGTTAGATTTCAATACAAAGTTTAGAAAACAAGTATAATTATATCATAGAGAAATCTGAAAAACCACATTGCTGTACCCTGAAATATCCACTTAAGAACTTGTCATCAAGCACGCAGTGCAGTAATAGCTAGTATTACATAATATTTATGTGCCACCACAGTAGCTAAGCACTTTCTGTGCATTAATTCACTTAACCCTCAAATACCACCTGAATGCCCCCATTTTACAGATGAGGAAACTAGGCATTACAGGTCAAATGATGTGGCCACGGTCACAAAGCTAGGCAGGATGACTCCAGAGAGGGTGGTGCTTGAACCATCATCTATGTGGTTTACCCTCTACAGCAAAGGTCCAGGCAGGTAACCCTGGGAGAAGTCAAGCCTGGGGTAAGGCCAGGCATCAGTACAGCTTTGGCCTGTGTGGCAGGAAGCACTACACAGAGGCTGATGTAGTGCCTGAGTGCTCAAGGCAGTGAGAGCTGGGTGTTCCCACAGAAACTCATTTCTGTATTCTCCCTCAAAACATCTCTCAAGCTGCCAAATGAGCCATCAGGACAGTTCATGGAAGCAGTAGGTTTTATACTAAGTGTGGACGATTATAAGGATTATAAGTTGTGGTATCTCAGCAGGGAATGGAAAAAGGGAGGAAATAAACAGATGTAGAAATAGAAAGAAGGCCAGAAAAGCTGAGCTAATTCATTCAACTATTTTGGATGCCTGCCCTATGCAAGGCACTCTGCCAGACGCAAGAGAGAAAGCCAGGCCAGGGTGTTCAGAGTTTTTTTTTAGATGGATAATCATATAAGTTCCTCCTCTAAGCCACCATTTCCATTAAACTGAGAGCCCCTGGAACCTACTGACCCAATTCTTCCAAATGCTGCCACGAAGCCTTTTCCCAAGCTGCCAGGGTCAAGCAAAGAGGAAAGGAAAGCCTGGGAAGACCTTCCCAGATAGACTATTTATGGACATAAATAGTCCTAAGAGCTGCCATCTGAGTAACGCCTACATGCCAGGCACGATTTTAAGTGTTTTATATACATTATCTCATTTAATTCCAGCAACAGCTCTAAAAGGCACACGTATTTTACAAATGAGGAAACTGAAAACTAAAAAGAGAAGTAACTTGCTCAAGGTCACACGACTAGTAAGCAGCAGAATTCAAATCTAGGTTTCTCTGACCCCAAAGACCATGCTTGACTTTGGCAAAGCTTTTGATTCCCAGAAAGCAGCCCACTGTACTTAAGACAGTCATTGATTTTATGTCTGCCCTTGGTTAGTAGTTAGTATAGAGATGCCACACTCACATTTTCCTTGTTCTCATCCTGGTCGATCATCTGAAAGACGTCACGGTCAAGAGAATCAGAATGGCTCCTCTTCAGAGCTGGGCTACACCCCAGGAGCTTCTGCTATCAAACAGAAAGAGGAAATTAGAGTACGTAAATGAGAAGCCAGTTCTCAAAAGAAAGGGGAAAAAAAGGAGGGGAGGGCTAGCTCCTCTTACACTGTAGTAGCAAGTATCCAGTAAACGTGGCCAGGGCGCCATATTGCCAGAACACAGATTAGAGGTCCTCATTACATGGCTTTACGCCTAACCTGAGAAGGTCTACAGCCCTCTCAGCAAGGGCCAAATCAACTCCAAAATAATATCATTTGCGTAAAAACAACCCTTTCTGGTTTGATAAAGGTCTAGTAGAGATGAAGGAGGAAAAAGCCCTCAAGAGGCAATGGCTACTGCAGTTTCTTTATGTAAAGGGTCTCGAGTGCTTTTCCACAGTCTTGTGCTTATAATAGCAGTCTTCACTCTCTAAGATCTCATACCAAGGTCACGCTGGTAGCTAAGTGGGAGGGGGGGGGGCAGAGAATAGGTATTAGCTCAGAATAAAAAGGACAATAACTTACAGGTAGGGAATTTATTCTCCTCATCGGATTTTCAAGGCTGCAATGAGACCAGAAGGTAAATAATAAGAATAAAGCAAACAAAGATTTATTCATCTTAGCAGATGAACGGTGTCTAGCCTGCAGTGTGGGGGCAGTCAAACAGACCAAACTCCCAAAGAAGCACACCCAACACTGAGTTTCTCGGTGAAAAAAACAAACTAAGGTCTTCTCTTAAAATGCACAGGTTTTCTTTTTTCTGAGAAAATTGACTTAACTGCAAAAACAATAAGCAAAACCAAACCCCTGAATTATTTTGATACATAGGAGACAATCAGAAACACTCTTCCCTGTAGTCCCTGTTTTCCCTCACCCTAATCCTGAGTGACACTGGTCTCTTGCAAAGGCTGCTACCTTGTGCCACAGATGCACAGCTGAACGAGTTCAGCCGCTCCTGTGCCCACACTCCCCGCTGGCTCCGCCAATGCTCACAGTCCTCAGGGAGTGACTGTTTTGCTCTGTGAACCCTCACATGATTCAACGCACAGGTTTTCTTAAGGCTATGACATTATAGGGTGGAGCAGGGGTTTGGGTGCCCTGAACAGAACATCAAAATTACAGCTAAAATAAAGGAGGAGAGGTTCTGAAAACGGCTAATATAAACCACTCATTTTCAAAAGATAGTAAGAATACTGGCGGGGTCAGGGAGTCTAACTACCACCACGACTGTGACTCATGGAGACCCCATGTGTGTCAGAGTCTGACTGCTGTTGACCAGGGACAACAAAGCCAGGGGTTCAGGGCAGAGCATGAAGAATGTTGTTAAAAAATTAAGAAAACCTTTTTATAAGCACAAACATTTAAAAGCAATGAATACATACTTTTCTCTACTGTCCAAGGGCCCAGGAGAATCCAGACAGAAGCCTGTGGGAAATTAAAAAAAAGTGTTTCTATTCACCATTAATCACCGTAGCTCGGCTGCTCTATAAAGTAGTCTTCATTCCTTCACCTGGAATTTCCATTTGCCTGTTGATTCTCATTTAAAATACTCTCAATTCCTTGAGCTTTGAAAGTGTTTAAAATCTCTCAGGAAATCATACGTGAAATACACTTTGTCATTAAAGATAAACAAAATTAGAACCTTATTTATAAGTCAGCCAATAAAGGCTCATAGCTTAGAGTTTTGCCAGAAGTGAGGTCCCTATTTGATTGTCAAAAAAACCCTATTTGCACGAGTCTTAATACTTTCATAGTATAATCTACTGATCCCCTCTCCTACTTGCAAATACTATTAAACCAAAAAAACCAAACCAGTTGTCGTGGAATCAGTTCTGACTCACGGTGATCCCAAGTACATCAGAGTAGAACTGTGCTCCATAGGGTTTTCAATGGCTGATTTTTTGGAAGTAGGTCACCAGGCCTTTCTTCCATGGTGCCTCTGAGTAGACTCTAACTTTCAATCTCTTGGTTAGTGCATTAGCTGTTTGCACCACCTAGAAACTCCAATTACCATCAGTGGAAACAGATTTTGAGGAAAAGGTGAGTTAAGCTGATTCATGCCATGATTCCTTGGTTATTCAGAGGTAACCCAGGTAACTTGCAAACTGTGAGTTCCAACCACAGAAAGAACAGGTACCAGGTTTTTCTAGGATAGTTTTGATTTCAAGTATTTTATCTTGTCAAATCATGTGGGTAAATTTGGGATTTTGAAAAGTCAATTATTAGTCATGTGACATGTCAGGCAAGTATTTGCTGCCTTCAACAAAATGGCACCAAGTAAGGTGCCCATCTCACTAAAGGCTTCCCACACAGCCACAAATGAGAATCCTATCTCCAGTTCTCAAGAAGCTGCCTGTATTTTAAGACTTTTGTTCTTGCAGTTCCTTAACCTAAAGCATCTGTGCCCAAATGCTCTTATCTGTGCAAAGATAAACCCTGTAGAAACATACATTTGTGAATTAGAATAAAATTCAATGGCACTTTTCCTCCATAGCGAGCTTACTCAAATAATTTCATTATACTTCCAATAATTGGACTCCAAATTTTAACTGATGACTTTCTGGATTTTACTCGACTACTCATCCTTTAAGACCAGCGCACACCACCTCCTTGCAGACACCTGAACTTGTTTTCTCTCTCCATAAACTGCTACAGGGGGTTTCTCTGTAATGTTCCTAAAGGTGTTTGTCACCACTGCCATGCATTCTCCATATGCTGTCTCAATCACTCACCAAACTAAGTCCCTAAGTGAAAAGGAATGTTTCAGCAAATTCCCAGTGTTGCCTCCCACATAGCAGACACACAATGCATAACTGAAGACAGAAAATACCTGAATCGGTCGACTCGGAGGAGCCCATTCTCTGCAGACTGCTGTTCTTCACCTCCAGTGGCTGCTCATATTCACTACAACCAAGAGAAATTTCTAGGACTCAGTTAAAAGGTTACATACAGGAGACAGGTCACAAGCTTAACAAGTAGCCAGGCTGCTGTGAACCATCATTACTTCTAGGTCACACCAGACTCCACTTTCCCACCCCAACACTCAGTTTGCACTTGAGGATAAAAGGAGAGGAGAAAAGAATAGGCGGGCACAGCCCTGGGCCACGTTGTAGGACATGATGATTATGACGAATGTTGAAGTATTTCCTGAAATGGGAGCATGTGTTCTAGGCACTGTGCTAGAAGTAAGGATTAAAGATGACTAGGACAGTGTTCCTGCATTTCAGAGGTGTGAAAAGGAAAAAGACATGTATCTTAGTTAGAAAAAGGGATGTTCAAGATTGGGGGAAAAGCAACTTCATCAGAAACACTGTACGATGCATTTTTTGCTATAAGGAAAAGTCCCGGGAGCTTTCCAGTATGGAAAGTTGGGTAAAAAGGCCTGGCTTTGAGAAAGCAACAGAGTGGGCATCCGGAATGTACACGAGGCCAGGAGGGACTGCGATGATTTTGTACAAACGCCAGGAAAGAAAATGCCATGTTCCTTTGTTGGGAAAGAACAAAGCTCACAGGAAATTAAGATCCTGTAAGGTTCAGCAAGGGTGGAAGTAAGCACTAAGGAGGGCCTGCTTTCCCCGCGTGGGAACAGATTCCAAAGGGCTCCCTGGGACAGCGAAGCGACAGGAGCAGGGTACAGGGTAATCCGAAATGGGTGGCGAAGGTGGGGAGCCGGGGCCCTCCCCACCCCCTACCGGGTCCGGCCCTGGAGGGTCCGAACGGCCTCTCCCGCCCAACATTCCGCCCGAGAAGAGGGTGCACATGGCGGGCCATGGGGCCGGCGCTGCCGCCCCCGAGCGGCAGATCCAGGCGAGCAGGTCGCGCCCCTCCCGGGGCCCGTTTCCCGGCCCAATCTCCCCGAGGATCTCCAGGAAGGCGGGCGGCTGGGGCCCCAACGCTGATCTCCTCACCTGCCCAGTCCCTGCAGCTGGTCCATGGTGACCGTCAGGTTGGTGACAGGCGACAAGCCCCCGGCGGCTGGCGCGCCAAACAGCGCCTTTACGACGGCCGGTGGCGCGGGAGGGGGGCTGCAGGCGAAGAGCAGGCGCCGGCGGTGCGGGGGCTCCGGGCCCAGTTCCATGGCGGCGCCGGGTCTCCCGCTCCCTCTTTCTCCGCCTCCGCCGCGCCCGCCCCGCCCCGCCGACACCGGCCTCGGCCGCGCGCCCCGCTGCCTACGTCCGCGGGTCAAACACAAACACGACCCCGCGGTTTAGGGACGCGGCCGCCGCGGGCAAGCGGCGCAGACGGGCGGGTGTCTGGGCTGGGCAGGCGCCAGCCGCACGCACGGATGGCCGACCCCCTCCCCGCGAGGCCGGCGGGCGGGCGGGAGCCCGCAACCTGAAGATTAAATCCAAACAAACGCTGCGGGTCGGAAAAGGAGGGTGGGCGAGGGCCGCGAGGCAACGGTCCGGGTTCACACACTCTTCGTTCTTCTCTCACCCTTGCCCAATCCCGGGTCGCAGAGCACTAAGCAAACCTGCACCTCCCTCCCGGGCTGCCGCGGCTGGGGTGGCCTTTCGTGGCTCACTAAGGAGCCGCCGGTGCCCCGCCCCCCTTTTCCTAGTTGGCGCCAAATGGAATCCACCAATCCGTAAGCTACGTCCCCGCCCCCGAATGACAGCCAGGCTGGACCAATGAGAGGGGAAGAAGGAAGCCGCTCGCGGGACTCTGCGAGGTCACCAGTTCCTGAGGGGGCGGGGCCCAGAGGTGACGGGGGCGGGTCGAAACGAGAGGCGCTCGGACGTCAATGAAAACTCCCAGCAGGCCCTGCGACGCCCGGCCGAGGCCAAAAGTCCCCTCTTGACCCGTTGTATGCTGGGAAGCGTAGTTCTCATCCCGCGCGTACTTCCCGGTACCTCCGCCCCCCGTTGAGCCACGCCCGCATCGTCCCGCGCCCCACAGCTTGAGCGAACGTGGAGACTAGAAAACCCATCCGGGTTGGCGAAGCCCAGCCTTTTCTCTAACCGTGCAGCACCATAGGCTGCTGTTCTGTTCGGCCCTAGGCCGCCAGGTCCCACAGTTACAGAAATTGAATGACACCCCCAGCCCGCCACAGGGCCAGGACCCCTGGGCTCGGCCTTGTGACACCGCCCCCCCACCCCCCACGCCGTGCGCCCCGACTCCCGACCACCAAGCCGTGATTCCGGAGCGCTAACGTTCCCGGTCGGCGGCCCGTCACAGAAACTGCAGGCTGCGCTGACCATGAGCCGCTGGCCAAACGGGGCTTTAGCGCCTCGATGCCTCCTGCGCAAATTGAGATGCGCCTTAGGTGTGAAAATCCACCTCGGATTTCCGAGGCATAGTACGAAAAGTAAAGCGTAAAATAGTTCAATACGTTTAAGATATTGATGACGTAGAGAAATGATAATATTTTTATGTTGGGCTAAATAAAGCATATTGTTCAAATCAACTTCACTTCTTTTTACTGTGGCTATTTGAACATTTAAAATCAATTTACATATGTGGTTCGCATATATACTTCTATTACACAGTGCTCCTGTAGATTCTGTCCCCTACCCCTCCCTGTGTCCACCGTCCTTGCCTGAATGTAGGCCTCATCATCTTCCTACTGTACAACTGCGGCAGCCTTTTACCTGGTCTCTCAGCTCCAGAGTCACCCCCTCTTCCAAGCCATGTTTTCTACTGTATCAATC